AGCACTGGCAGCAGTCGACTGGCCAGCTGGACGGCGACGGGCGCGCCACCCGACACCCCCCCGAGTGCCTGCAGGATCTCGGCCAGCGTGCCCAGAGAGAAGGAGCGGTCAGCCACCGTGCAGGAGGGCTTCTGCCAGGGAGAGACAGAGGGCAGGGGAGGTGTGAACACACTCACCCCAACTGCGCACCACAGCACACTAACATGAGCTAGTGAATACAACACGTGTGCCAAGAGTGTTCTTTCAGACAGAGAACAGAGTAACAGAGTGTGTGCGATAGTGTGACAGAGTGAAACAGAGCGTGTGTGAGTGTGATACAGTGTGCAACAGTGTAATATAGTGCGCAACAGAATGTGTGTGAGCGAGATACAGTGTGTAAGAGTGGGAGTGTGATACAGTGTGTTAGTTTGATAGTGTCTAAGATTGTGTGAAACTGTGCGTTATACAGTAACAGTGTGTGATGCAGTGTGTGCGTCTGACAGACTCACAGTCTTGTTGATCAGCAGGGGCAGCAGCTCGTTCAGGTAGGGGGAGAAGGTCTCTCCTGGCACAGCGGCTGCGAGGAGGGGAATACCCTCGCCAGCGAACTCCTGCAGCATGGCGTCATACTCTGCCTGGAACACAGGGCGGCAGCACAGCGCAGTCAGCAGCCCCCCGCCCAGGTCAACGCGTGACTCAGGGCATTACTGGCCTGTCTGGACCAGCCGGGGATCACCAGGGTCTACAGTGCAAAGTGTAGACCTCACACTGAAGCTCACAACACACAGGTTCGGTCTGGCCAGCATAGCACACAAACACACTGCAGCCTCGGAAAGAGTTTAAAGAAGATCAATAGGCATGATTCCTGGTTCCCGTCAGGAGATCGTAATATACCCTGAGAAACATCCATCCATTCATTTTCTATCTATTTCTCCCAATACAGGATCACAGGGGAGATGGAGTCTATCCCAGCAAGCACTGGGTGCAAGGCAGGGTACAGCCTAAAGGGGACGCCCGTCCAGCACACA